CACGTTCTTCTTATCGATTATTACCCTCTCGCATTAGTCTCTACAGAAATCCCCCAGTTTCCTATCTTGCCAGAATCCTTGTAAACCGAGAGCGCGCTTCCTCAGAATTTCTCAGTAAACTTAAAGGCTAAATATTTTATTTGTATCTTTCCNTATCTTTCCTTCTATTGATGAGATGTGTAAATTTTTGACTGAAATGCGAACATTCTGTTCTCGCAAAAGTCTATACAAATACAAATAGAAACGAAAGGAAAAAACAGCATCACTTCGTAAATGGGATGTGATTCCCGAGTGCGCTTGGTATCAACAATTTTTCTTTTCTCATTGTCGTTGCAGAGCCGGTCAACGACTCGGGTCGACCAGTGTCACAAAGAAGAGACGAAAACCGCTCCTGTTCTCGTCCGCGGCCGATTTCGATCCGATTAACTCGAGTGCGTTGAGTCAGAAACAACAGCATTTGTTCAAATCGCTCAGAACTGCATTTGCGGATGCGATTCATCACCAGCCCCCACCGGCACCACCCACTCTATTCAAACAACCTCCACCCGGATCGCACACCGAAGGGAAAGTGAGTGAATGGTGTTGAATTACGTGCGCGATAAACAAGCAGGTACCGTTGTCCGTCTATATATATATCAGGTTTTGTCACTGACAAGTTTGTAATTCACAAAGGTATCCTAATTTGGCGTCGTCGAAACGCTCGAAATAAACTAATGCCCCTATCCGTTGTTCCCCATTATGGCACATGGAAATTCCCCTCTCACGTGAAGTAATGTACGGTAAACCACCTCATAATTTTGAAATAACTATTCCCAAGTTGTAATTTGAAAGAAGACCACCTATCACTGCGTTTTGTTTCGCCAACTCGATGAATCTATCACCCAGAGAGCTCTGATTGCCAAATTAATCAAAGACAGTAAACCTTTAATAGGTTTGAATGAATGAATTGCTGTCACATAGAGATAGGAGACCAACGGAACGACCCATCTCCCCCCCACACACACTCCGATACGAATCAGAACGATTTGTAAATTTGCGTTGGTCTGCGTGCAACCTTGTTCATTGTATTCTCGTCTCTGATCCAATCCAAAAAGTGCAACGAACGGTTACATGATAGTGCCTGCCAGATGCATGGACGTAAATGAATGAGTAATGTCCCACAGCACGATTTCATGCACAGAACTATCTATGATGAATATGAATTTTGATTGAAAACACGTGGATATTTACACAAAATGCTTGTAGAGGCAAAAGGTGATCGTTGATCACGCATCAAGTACTGAGCAATAACCGGTTAGAAATCTTAACACGGAGGCATTGAAAATATCAGTGAATGTTTTTTAATTCGCATCTATGCAACCGAATGTTTTAGACTCGGAAAAATATATGACGTGGTTAGATTTAACCGTTTCCAATTTTTCTGAATAATACGTTATGCTGCACATCTTATAGTTCCGCATTGTCCATTTGAAGTATTAAATTCAGTATCCATAGCTAGAAGTATTGATCAAACTCACGTGGCATGACCTTCAATTTCGAAAAGGATGTCAATTTTCAATGTGAATTGGTTTAATAGACTAACACGAATAAAGGATATTTATTCCAAACTTTATCTTTCACTACAATGTTGTTAATTCTCTTGTTTCACTAGTTGCATTGAAGTGACCTTGAGTGTCACGATAGAATTTGTCATAGTTCGAAAGTTACAGCTTAAAAGCAGACAATATTTGAAACAGGACAGTATGAAAGCTCATTCTTTCTCTTACAGAATTATCTTCTTCTGAGGTGCTTTGCTCTGATCAGTAATCGTATTCTAAGAAGCATAACTTACTACATAAGGTGCACCCTAGAAATACCGTTAAATAAATGTGAAAGAGCGGAATTAGATATGTTCCACGAAACGTGAAAATGAGTGTTCCAAAGTCGATATTGGTGTGTGCAACTCTTTGATTTCGCACTGTCACCGGATATCAGCGGTATACAGGTTAAGCGGAGAGGTAACGAACGTATAGGGGAGACACAAATCCGGAAATCAGTCCCTGACAGGTTCGCCAATGTAAACAAAACTATAATACAGCAATACGGAGGAAGCAAACCGAGCGCATCGAAGCAGCGGATGTACCAGTAACCGATCGAAATCGAGAAATTGTACCTTAAGAGGACGTTCGACCACAAGAAACACCAGCATTAGTGAATACAATTACAGATATGTTGTGCCTCTTATGGGGCAATAGCATATTGATTGGCGTGGATGAGGCTCAAATCTCTGGGCATCCGGAGCAAGAGATTGAATGAAGGTCCCGGTGTCTTACCCACGCCGGAAGTCCGCAGTTCACAGCAATAAAAACTTGTAACTCCCTTATGGGTGATTATTCACCAGACGGTCCTATTTTTTGTGGATTAGACAGATTGGAAGTTGGAATGTGAGTCAACAATACTAGGGACACGGAAGCGAACCTGATCTTAGCAGACGTTCTGAATAGACAAGAAGATCAAACGAACACAATAAGTAGGATCTGTTCTAGTGTAAACCAATCACACGGAATTTGTGAACAAATCGACGACTGGTGTATCTAAAATGATTGATCCGTTGTTTTATATTCAGTTCAGGCGTTCAGTTCAATATCGTCGCTTCTAGTGAATCCGGAGGCGGGCCAATGCGAAATCTTCACAGATAATGTTTCACTAACTCCCCTCTATGATTATGCTTAACTTTTAGCGTGAGCAAGGAGGCATTCTGAACCCAAACGCCTTCGTATACGACGTTCTTCGTCCGCGTTTGTGAGAATAATTTTGTAATAAAATGAAAAAGAACTGTGAAGTGAATGGAGACTTGCTTTTTTCGTTCGGAAAGTAGTTGATCGCAAAATCCGATTTCTAGGTTTTTGTCACTTAAATTGTTCTACAACATTAAAAACACAAATTTTCCGGGTACTGCTTGTCTTTGGTAAATAAAAATAAGCTATATTAGGTAATTGAAAATACCGAGACAGTTTGGGAACATATTTGTCTAGGTGAAAAGTCATCAACTACAAGTGAAGGTTCAACAATTTTTTGAGCACACGGTTACCATGATTACGGACGCATGTACCATTGTTGCGAAATTGTATTGATACGGAACAGAGACATCTGTTACAAAATGATGACATTTCGTTCAAACTCCTCAATCTCTGACTCGGTGCATACTGGCACATTTATATGCATGTATAGGTTTAAAGCATGTTTGGTTCATCAAGCATACATCGTGAATGAACGTTAACTGACAAACAAAGATTACTCAAATTTTGGGTGAAATGTTCACTCCACTTTAGTGGAATGTGATCACGTTATCAAATTTGGGCTCAAAAAAGGAACGAGCGAGACCATGGAAAACGCACACAGCTTCTGCGATTGCAAAGAGTTTAGCACCGCGGTTACCTAGTTGGGATTTATCAGATCAGAGAGGGAATGAGAGTCAACGACGTTTTGTTTCCCAAGATGATTTGCAACAGAAGAGATCGGGTTCTGTTGTGCTCGCCTGATCACCGTTTGTCGGTTGCGTCATCCACTTTATCAACGACCAAGGAATGCGTTTGGTCATCCGCTGTGACAGTCAACGTCTTTTTCTGCCACACTGTATGTGAAACAAAAGCGGTTTGCCAGCCATGTTTACATTGGTCCAAATCGATTCCGCCAGTAGAGATTATTCTGAGTTGAGCAGCTAGCTGTGTGTGGTCTAGAGCTGACTTCAACTTTTGGCGTACTTCGTCTATCAGTGAAAATAAGCTTTACTTAGACCGCCCAGTTCGCCGATTATTTAGGCTAGATTAGCGTTTTGAATTTGTCTACTGTGGATGTCTAGGAATTTTTCTTTTCAGCTGCTGTTTAGTAACGTCCTAATTAGCAATTCCTTTTCTTGTTGTAGTTTAGCTGGAGAAAAAAAATGCACCTACCNCCCCCCCCCCCCCCCCCCCCCGCGGATGAAATACAGCTCTCACAAGTCCACGTTTAAAGGCGATGGTGAGAAGCTGCAGGGCTATGGATACTGAAATATTTGGGTTGCTTTGCCATACACTGAGCGTTGTACGGTTCCATTAAATCACCTCAATGTTCTTATTTCTGGAAACACCAGATATATATATATATGTCCTGTCTACTCTATGGGATACAGAATGGTGTGCTTGGGTTGAGTGAAAAAATGGCGTAAAGAATTCGAAATGTTCATCGTTCGTGAGAATAAAAATTTCGTCCACACATTTTATCCGGGGCGTACTTGGAAATAATATCACTTAGTTTTTCATTGAATCATTCATGAAAAAATACGTTGACCAAAATTCCTCTCAATGGACTGCCTATGGCTACGCCGTCAGTCTGCTTGTATTTCATCCCTGCAGTCCCAAGATGAGTGTATTCACCACATCAAAAATATGGTCCATTCAAATAGCTAAGACTAATATTGAGGGTAAAATTTCCTGAAGAAATATATTCGTGTAAAAAACCAGTTGTTTTATGGAGCGGTACAGTAGTGGGAAGCTTGTTCAATGTCGTATTGTTAACTACTTCAAATTTATTTCAAATTATCCTTTTATATGACCTACTACATAAATAGTATATAGAATCAATTAACCCATCGCTATTGGTGATTGAAATGCAATAATTCAAAAATGATATGCACTGATAATACTCACAATCTACTGCTCAATCAATATTGATAATGATGAGTGCATCAAAGGTTTCCAATTGTGCATCCAACGAAATTCAACCATTTCTTTGATTCTTTTTAATATATCAGGATCAAATGATATTCAGAATGTATCGAAAAATCGTTGCACCATTTGTTGTTTCATCGTGAATGTTTTGACGTGAATAACCGACATCGGTGTGTTATTACCATTATAACATTCACAATTTCTTTGCTTTATTGATATACTTATAGAGGACGCATGTCAGTGTGCATGTGTATGCGGAACTTCTTATATGCCAGTTAAGTATTTGTATCGGAAAAATAAACAATGTGCAAAAGATACATACAAGAATATATGATCATTTACAAAAGCATTTGTGAAATCAGAAATACGTCAATCATACGCGCACTGTTCAACACTGTCCTCGAAAGAGACAAATGCTGATGCAATTCTCTCCACCACTGTCCTGTGGCACATCTTCTGTCCCCCAAACCCTCACACACACACACATACACACACACACACATACACAACACCCCAACTCCCCTCACGGAGATTTTTCTTTTTCAAACACCATTTCCGGAATCCGGGGTCCTACAAAGCTGACCAATTAGCCAAAGGTCAACAAGCTTCACAAAACTATGAATTTAATCTTGGCCTGTAAAGCTGGAGGTGAACGAGAAAAAATGAACCGTAAGGGAGATGTTTCGGTGTTCGATTAATTTGATCCACAAGTGGAATTCGATCGGTTTTGAACAGATATGAATAGAACACTTTCGGGTTTCGCACCCGGTGCTTGTCTATTCATCATCCCTGCTTCACATTCCATTTATCCCCGAGGTTTAGAGAAAAAGAACCCGGTTTTTCGTTTATCAGCTGACTGCGTCCCGTTAACGCCCCTTTTTGAATAGAGAAACCTATTGGAATCATCGACGAAGCTTTTGGCAGATTTACGTTCTTTTGTGAGGCGCTTCATCCCTCTTTGGCGATATTAAATGAAAAACTAAATTTTTGGTCGCTACAATGATTTTTGTCTCTTTATTCCATCAGAACAATTGAAAATTTATAGTGTACACGATTGGCGCTGAAGTTTTTCTGGTTGTGGTTGTTTTTCGCTATGAAAAAGAGAGATGCCTGAAGTTTTCCAAAGCCTGGTAGAATTATGGTCCCCCTTTACATCTCAAAATACTCAGGATGATCTCGCATTTGATAAAGTGTTTCCCATCTATTCCACACAGGTCAAAGTTGTCCTTCATGTGCACCCGTCCGTCAAGTCCAGTGGTTCCGAGACCCCACCATGCCTGACAGTGGATCGCCGTCGAAAGCAAGTCGGTCTGATCGACCCTAACCTGTCCCAAACCATCTCGGCCACACAGCGTCGGGCCGGAGTTGGGGCACCGAAGTTCTTCTCCCTGGATGCGGTATTCACCGAGGAAGATTCGTTGGTAAGCCGCTGCTGTGTTTCTCACTGATTGCTCCATTCAAATTTGGACAGGAGCATGGAACTGATTACCAAAAAATACCAAATAAGTTTTTGATGAGGAATTGTAAAATTTCTGAAGAGAAAACAGCTTTTCGGAAAGATGTTTTGCGCCGATCGCGAATCATAAGGCACCCCTAGAGGTTTGTTTTCTGGTCCCGTACAAATACGAAGTTGTTCAGCGTTATATTTATATATATGGCGATTGTGAAACGTTCAGTAGCCTCGGTGGGATTCGAACCCACGCCAAACATCCATTTGCACGATTAACCTTGTCTAATATTGTTCATTCAGTGGACTCCGGTGAATTCTGAGGAAAAGCTGTCGGGACAGTAAGCTTACATGCTAGTTGGTGGATGCCACATGCCTCTGTAAGTTGGATGGGTAATTCGAATGTGAAAACATCAGTGCTATCGGTGTGGCCTCGTAGCTCATAACGAATTGTTGTAACGGATAATAATTGCTGGTAATTAAAACAGTTGTTTCCTACCGGTTGAATTTCGCCCGCCTTCGACACTTTTTCTATCCTAGCCGAGATTTACATTTTGTAGTTTAGAATGAAAACTCATGCCAGTGAGCTTCCCAACAGTCCGCTAGTACAAGACCGTGAAATTTTCTAGTTAATCAGTTGTTGTCCGATTAGCTCGAGTGATTTCACAACCTTTAAAGCCCTGTGAAATGCTCCACTTCCACGTATTTGTCAGAAGTTCATTCCAGTACAATAATGGAAACGCAATGCAATTGCGGAGAACGGAAGCGCTTAGAGTGTTTGAAGACCAAAAATGTGCACAAAATCGGTGCAACCACAGGATAGAATTATCATCCAACCGGATGCACTAAGCCAACAGCAATATTCTGATCCTTATCTTCTCCTGCAAACATATATATATATATGTATAGGTAAATTTTTCAGAGAATGAATTCGTTGAGTATAGTGGAAATGAAGCGTGAACTGAAAAGCTGGGAAGCCCTGGACAGCTGTTTAGACCCGTAGCTCAGCTGGTAGGGTGCGCGCGTATAAAGCGTAGGCGGCGTCCATGCGTGGGTTCGAATCCCACCGAGGCTACTGAACGTTTCACAGTCGCCATACCAAAGTCAAATTTGCCAAATACCCATTTGCACAATTCGTTATGAACCACATAACGATGACTACCAGTCCCATTCGCACAACCAAAAGGAACGCATTGGTCACTCTATTTCGATCTTGTATACTTGAGTAGAGGTAAAGCTCGACTGCAGCACCGATAACTAGTGGCCAGTGCAAGAGTATATTGATAGAATGGTAATACCACTTTGTGAATAGGGAAGAATGAATCGTGCTGGTCGACCACAATCAAGTCAGAGAAAGACGCGTTCGAATGAAAATTTGCGCGATATATCATAGACCGTCATTCAGCACAGGCGTTTTCGATCAGGTAGACTGATCAAAAACGTGCCCTCAAAAATAGACCGTGAATTCGCAAGTAAAACAAAACTTTCGTCAGCTACCAAACACCACCAAGAGAAGTCATTTTTCAGTATTTGAATAAAACATTCCCTGCGTGTAAATTTTTCATCCCATATGATGTGCATTCACGAAAAAATAACACTTTTATATGTATTTTTCTGGCGTAGAAAATCTCACTGAAAGTGGGACTAATAAATTGAAGTAAAGAAACGCTATATGGCAACATGCATTTCACCTGGTCTCGGTGTGCGTGCGTGCGTGCTTGCGTGCGTGAGTGCGTACGTGCGTTCACATGTTCGGTGAGCAACAGGGATCACGTGATTATGACAGTGTATCAGTCAGGTGTTCGTTTGCGATCAGAACAAAGAAAAAGATCAAATCTGCTTTTGTCTGGGTAAACTGAAGCGCGTAGCGGCAAAAAATTGTCTGCGATTACCAGGGGAGAGTTCTTCTTGTTCCCCTGTCAGGGATCAAAGCATCAACGCGGCGGTGGAGGAGGAAGACA